TCAGCAGGAACTTGACGGTTAGACCTTTTCGACCTGATCAACTCAATTGAAATCTGTTTAAAATCTGTTTTTCCGTTAACCAGCTGTCGCACCCCTACGAACGACAACCTTCAGAAGTCGAACCATGTGCGAGCTAAGTGGTGAATGTCCGTTCTTACGGTCTTATACACTCATAGGATGCCCATTATGACAAATTTTGGAGTGGAAAGGGCATCCAAAGTCTAAAGATTATACCATTTCTAATTTTTTCTATGAAGTTACCTAAAATAACCCGAGTTCCTAAAACTCAACCAGCGTCAATGATGAGCTTGAAGATCACGCCAGTTCCATTCTCGAACTCACGACGATCGCAATACTACCTGACGTTATGACCGAACGCATTTGCTAAGGGATATAATTATACGTAGTGCTAAGGTAGTAGGTACTGATCCCCAAAAAAAGAGGGTTTACGGCAAGAATACTCTGTGATATGAAACACATATTTTTTTTTCTCAAAATTAAGATATCATCCATTAGAAATGTGATGTTTCAAAAGTTTTGAAAACTGAGAGGTGTGAACCGTGAATACTGGTGGACTCAGTATTGATCCGGAGGTACACATCTCAAAGAATCGATCAATTTCAATGATCTTAAATTTACTTTAGGAACGTTCGTAAAGATTTGTTTTGATTAGTCAGTTATTGGGATCATGGAAAAAACATATCCAATGGAGAACATTTAACAACAGATCATGAATATTTCTGTCAAAGGCTTTTGAGTAAACATGGAATATTGAAACACAAACGTTTTCATCTTTTATGCTGGCGAATCTGTTCTACAATAGAAGAGTTATTGACTTCATACAAATCAAGCTAATAAGACTAAGACCACTCATGTTTGAAGGGTCAGTAATGATAATTCAAGAAAAACTTGTGTTAGGCAAGTTATTTTTTTTAGAAAATGGGTCGAAGTATCTGAAATGGCGATAACAACACTTAGGTAGATACGTTTTGCAGAGCCCAGTAATAATGAATTGAGGGACGTCTTCGGGTATATATTTTGACAATGTACTATTTATAGAATAGAATGGAAAAGAATAGAATAGAATAGAATAGAATAGAATGGAATGGAATGGAATGGAATGGAATGGAATGGAATGGAATGGAATGGAATGGAATGGAATGGTAAAGTTCCTTACATATAGTATTCATTGAGTACCATTGATACAGTTAAAATCGATATAAAATATAACAATATAAAACAATAAATAATAAAATGACCGAAAAAAGATTCAGACACATTTGAGCATTCGTAGGAGTTGTCCCTCTGTTATACTGAATATATCCATTTCATAGTTCCTTGCCATTTTGTTAACTGTTTCGAGACATTGTTGAAGAGGGGACAAATTGTTTGAGATATGAAATAGATTGTCTCTTATAATTTGAAAGCGAGAGAAAAATTTTTGAGAAGGAAAGGTATTGGCTTTCTACTACTCCACATTCGTACAAGCACGTGGGAACCTGCCAAAGAATAGAAGAAAGCGATCAATGTCAACATCAATCCTTTACAAAGAGGTGTAGATCATGAAAAGAAGTAACTTCCAGACACAAACGAGAACAAAACACCTTTTCGGAACAGCTACTTCCATAAAAACATTGAATTACACGAGAATAAAAACAATTACTTCTATATGAATATTGAGTTACACGAAAGAAAAAATACTCTCGAAACAACTACTTTCAAATGAACATTGAATTATTCAAAAACAATTTTCCTATTCAGTTTGGACAGAAAAAAATCGTTATAGAATAGAAGTAGATAACACTGTCATCCCCAATCGCGGACATCGATGTTTCGGAATAAGACACTCGCCTTATTGCCTCTTCAGCACCAATCTAGATAAGATTACAAAATGAAGTACCTGTTTAATTCGAGAGTGGTATGCTTTGAGAAGAGATTGCTTCGCTTGAACGGTATTTTTTCCAATCAAGAAGCAGTGTAAAATTCAACAGAACATAATTTTTGATCCATTGTTTTGAAAATAACAAAAGTATTGCCACTCTTAGCACAATAACTCACTAACTCATGAGTAGAATATCATGAAATTTCAACAGCTTTTTTGAAGATTAGTTCTAAGTAAAAAGCGGTGAATGTAATAAGTCTAACACTATCTATGTTTTAGGCCAGAAGCTTTTGGGCCGAGGTATTACTTACTTGATATCGAATGTAGATCCATTTTCACAGAGATAGTACGGCACACATTGGTATTCACAAGTTTCTGGTTTGGTTTCTACTGGAGATGGACTGGATTCGAAAATTTGTTTCAGAATTTCATCAATATCAGTTTGGTTAACTGTACCTAATGCATTTTGAGTCGAAGCTGCTTCTGAGTTTCGAAGGAACGCGAAAATGAAGTAGAAGTATATTTGTGACAGGACAACCATTGTTCAGAGTTCAATCACTATTTTTTCCAATATCAAATGTCTAGTATTAAATAATGTGTATTCTCAAGATTAAACCTGAAACGATGCACTGTTGAGCAAAGAAGTTTGTATTTGAAAACTTGTTGCGATACCTCATTTATAACCCTCATGAAGTTTTTCTATTCTAAAACATAGGCGGGTATGGCAAAACTAAATAGGTGTTTTGAAGATAACTTAATAAATTGGTTTCAGTAACCTCTTCAATCACCAGTGAAATTGCCTCCCATTCACTAACAAAATGATGAATGATGAAAATAAAAGCAAAATCGATGACATATTTTTTCTATGACATATAAATTCCATAGTAGTAATTACGTTATCGATACTCTGTAGGCAGATTACTATCTCAGTGTAGTCAGACCTTCTTGAAGGTCGGCGAAACGTCGAACAACTCAAACCACCAGACGCGGTTTAACCCGAATATTAGATTATAAACTTGCTGACCGAGGAAACCTTTCCAACAACTGATATTTTTTTTCGGGTTTCGCTCCATTATTTGCGTTTTTGATCCTCACAAGGCAAAGTCTCATTTGCCATCTTCTGGTGATGTATTCCAATCCTATGCGCTATGAGCAAATAGACCAAAACCTATCATTGGAAATGAGTAAAATGAATTCCTTATTATGGAAATTAATAATAGAAAACCCTCATACAAGTCATCGTAAGCAGACGAGGCATTTATAGGGTAATAAAAAAATGCAAATTTCACCCTTACGATATTCAGATGCACCAGAAATTTTATGAAATAGACTTCCATCGACTAATCGTCTGTAGGTTCTGTAAAAGTTTAGTGGAAATAATTTTTTGGATTCCATTTTATTTTCTGATAAATCTACTTTTCATAAAAATGGTTTAGTGAACAGACACAACTTTCATTATTATAGTGATATGCATCCTCATTTTTTCCGTACTCTGAATCACCATAATAGGTGGTCTGTTAACGTGTGGAGAGGAATCATAGGTATTTAAGTTATAGGACCATATTTTTTTATGGTCGCTTAATATCAGACAACGAATGTGTTTACAACCGATAAAGCAACGGCACACTTCAAATTCACAGTTTTTGTATGTGTGCTTTCCTAATAAATTTATTGATAGGGGAAGACCACAAAATTGGCCTACGGCATCACCAGATTTGACTTTGCTCGATTTTTTCCTATACTTGATATTTGAAGAATGAGGTTTACGACACTACTCCAACAACACTGGAAAATATGAAGGAGAGCATAATGACTACTTTTCGAAGAGTGACGCCTCAAATGTTATATGATGGAATCGGCCGAGACTTGATGAAAATCCATAATACGTTGGCCTCAAATGTTATCAAATGTTTAGCATTCTTTCATAGAGATAGTGGATCTTCGTATTCAACAGGATGGTTGTCATTTCGAGCACATACTTTCAATTAAATATTTTGTTGTTGTTTCAGGTGAATAATAAAAAAATTGTATAGTCTGTTTAATGGACTACTGTCAGAGTATGAATGTGAACAGTAAATATTTTCGATAAAGTGAAATATAACAACTATCAATGAGAATTCTGTGAGCGAATCAAATGAATGTTGTTTCAAAGCTACCTTGATTCAAATAAAGTACTATTTCAAAAAGTCAATATCTGAAAAACTATTCAGGATAGGTGTATCAAACCCCTAAATGAAATAAAAGATAATTGAATTCAATATTGTTCAGACGAAAAAAATACAGGGTGTTCTATTCAAAATAACAAAGTTATCTCTGTACTAAATTATGAACATTCTATATATGATTGGTCAGAATTCGAAGGGATTATTTATATATATTTCGATGTTACTTAGTTTCCAATTTTATCTAGCATTTTAATAAAAAATCAATAACTGAAGAACTGTTATAGTTAAGTACATAGTACCCCACTTGAAGTCTATTATTTTTTCCTGGCCTATTCAAAAGTGTTACTGAGTACAGGATATTCTAATTAAAAAACACAACTTTGATGAGTCAAATTTTTTTAGCCACCCTGTAGACTCCAAAATACTTTCCTTCAGCAGCCTCAATCAATAAACACATAATGAAATTCCCGAAAAAATCAATGGTTCAGTTTACAGGAACAGTGTCGTATTGAGTGTCCCAACCTGTATATATTTTATATATATTATTATCATAATCATTTTAGTTCAGACACCGTAGAAACTTTCAATGCTTCGTGAAAGTTGAATTGAACAAATAGTGAAATATTGTCATATGTCCTGAGCTTCTAACCAAGGAATGCCCTGAAGTTGTTTTATTGAAACCAAAAAAATCTATTGGTTAATCCAACTAGGTTGTTTTTTTTATTGGTTGCATAAGAAGGTTTTCACGACAGAAGTAATGATTATAGAGAAAAAAATATTTACCGCTATGCCGTGGTCGAATGAAATGTGTACAGCTACTGCCATTCTACCACGTCTTACAAACCCAAACTTAATTTTTTCTAATTATTTATGGATTTTTTTTCATATTTCCTAAAATTTAGTAGTTTCAAATCGCAGAAAATATTTGTTAAATGTTGAATGAAGCATCGAAAAATGTATTTATTTTTTAATTGCAAAATAACCATTTCTGTGATATTCTCAACATATCTCAACATGAAAAAGTGAATCATTGAATAAAACTGGTTCCTTTTCAACAAACTTTTTCAAGGGTCTTCATTCACAAAATGTATCCTCTTCAAATAAGAGCAGCCTGATAATGTGAAATATCAAGTCCATAAAGGCGCATTTGCTCATCAATCCAGTCTCTGAATGAGGCAACATTCACGTAAACCCCTGGCACATTTTTCACCCCACAACCAATACCCCAGGCGACTATTCCCGCGTGGTAGTACCTTCCCTCTTGTCCCTCGATGGGGCAGACCAAAGGGCTACCACCGTCACCATCACAGGCATCTTTCCCCTCCTCGCCACCAGCACATACGAAACTTTCGTGTAGTATGAAGTGTTTTCCGAGTCTAGTTTCCCTCAAGTTACTCTGGCAGGTGTCTCTCCGAACCAGTGGGAGGTCAATCTTTTTCATAATGATGTGAAACACGCCATCCTCACCGAATCTGTCTTTTCCCCAACCCATGGAGTAACATCTTCCCGAACTAGTTTCTTGAATTTGGTTTTGTGCTGGTAAACAGAGAACATCAATATTTTGTGTGATGTTCACAGGTGATTGCAGGTAGAGAAATGCAATATCATTGTACAATGCTCCGGAGTAAAATTGTGGATGCAAGGTAATGTTCTGAACAGCAACATCCTGGTGCGGGTATGGTTCGACGTTTTTGTTAATATCCCACTCGCCTGCTCTGATGATATACTTGTCGGTTTTGCTCGAAACACAATGAGCAGCAGTTATCACTATCTGTGGGTGAATCAGAGTTCCTCCACATTTCGGTCTTGGCTGAGGTTCTAACGAACCTGTATCTCTGATTATTGCTACCATCCACGGAAATTCACCGAACTGTGCTTCATTCTCCTTATCTCCAGTGATTTTGAAGCCTACTCCATCGGGGTTCCGGTAACCACAGCCTATTGGTCTGGGTGAAGGTGATGGAGTTGTTGTTAGAGGTGTTTCTGACTTATCTTCTGGTTTGCAGCACACTTGGAAGACATTGCTACAAGGCAGGTTACCAGGTTTCTCCCTGAAATGATAAATCATTGGTTGACTATATACATATCGAGAAAACTTTTCAAACATATGTATATATATATACATATAGAGAGAAAAAAAGGTAGTATTTTTTGGATATGAGAGGACATGAGAGAAACAATATTTGGGTGTACAGCAGGCCAAAACAGTGAACTCTTGTAACACAGATTCCTAGCTTTCGACAATCTTCATTATCATCATCAAGCATTTTATTATCATCATCAGGGATGCTACAATATGGATAAGAGAACAGACTAGATCTATAAAAAGAAATCATTCAAAAACACAACTCACCGTGTATATGAGGTTAGGCGGAAGGAAGAATAAAATGTGGACACAACATGTATTGGTGTAGATACCAAAAAATAACCTCAGGAAGTTAAAGACAAATACAATTAATTCACATCACAAATGATATATCCTTTTTTAAAAAAGAAAACCACCTGTTGTTTTTTGAAGAGGACCATGTGGAAATATCAAATTTTGAAGTTGACATATGACATGTAATCAATTCGTACATGTGTAGTACCAGCCAATGACAAAGCTCGAGTTGAAATTGACATTCGAAATCAACAAATGTATGATATAATATAATGATGTCAGATCAGACAATTCCAATTTCCTCTTCGATAAGTTTGTTGATGGGTTAAAATTGACACCAATATGTCTTGGCACAATCATGTCGCTGGATTTGCGAAGGCTGCTTCTCAAAAGCTTGGAACACTGTTCCGAACCAGAATTTTTTTGGAGTATTGTTCTCATGTATGGAGCTCTGCCCTCAAGCATACCCAAGAGTTGCTGGATTCCATCCAGAAAAGAGCCATCCGCCTGAGTGGAGACGCGAACATCACATGCAACTTTGATAGCCTGGAACATCGAAAAAAGTTGGAGATGTTTCTCTTCTATAAATACTTTCACGGGAAGTGTTCAAGTGGCTTGGCACATTTGATTCCACCAAGAGCGGTACATATCAGAAATACGCGACGGTCTGTGACTGCTCATCGTTTTGAGGTTCAACTCCGTGCACTTCGAACTTCACTGTTTAAGCAGTCTTTTATCTGGAGAACTGCGTTTATGTGGAATAAACTTCCTGAGATCAAAAAAAAAAGATTTGGAAAAGCTGAATACACTTATTTGAATTAATGAATCGAAGAGGTTTTTGTATCAAAGTGTATAATTTTTAAAATTCTTGCAAAGCGCTTTCGACTTTCGTCATCAACAGTACTCACCTGAAAGTAAGTGATCTAATTGAAAAGGAAGTTTAGTGAGAATTGAAGTTGTAAAATTTTTAAGGTTGAGAAATTTGGAAAAATTGTTTGAGATTACTTACTTGTCAGGCAACAGGAAGTATCAAATTAAGTACATTGCACATTTGTAATATTTGACTTATATAGAACAAAATAGGTTTATAGCCAAGTTAATACATTTTTGGATTGAGGCCATGTGGTTCAGTCAAAGTATCATATGAAGAAGGACAAATTGGGACAGAATGTGTCAAGTGTCATGTTAAAATAATGGTACCAACTTGAGGAGTAATCCATTATTGATTTTGATTTAGTATGTAGAGGAAAAATATTGAATAAGTTGTATTAGTAAAATGTAATTAATTAATAATTCATAATCCTTTTATGAAGGGGAAGGAAATCTCTGTTTAAGTTTACTTGAGTATTCAAACAATGATCATTATTGGAAAGTTATTTAGAATTCTCCAACTTTTCAAACAAGTGGAGTCTAAGGAAATTTTTATTATCTATTTTATGTAATATTTTGGAATTTCTATTGGGACTAAAGTTGTGATTGTGAAATTTTATGTGGTGATGAGATTGTTTTTCAAAATGCATTTAATCTCCAGCGATTCAAATCCAATGTGACTTTCCTGTAATGCTTATGTTTTGTCCCTAAAAAAAAATTATCTGTAACCTGAACCATAGCCTAGCTGCCAGATAACTTGGGTGTTGCTTGGCTGTGGCTACCACATACTTAGGTATGATTACACTTTGAAACTAATGTGACATCTGAATGAATAGAGTAAATTAATGACAAATGGATTGAGTGAAGTACAACAATTCGAAAATTATCATATTGAATTTTCTGTATAACAAGTTTAACAAACTACTTATATGATGTATCTGGTATCTGTAGAATAGGAAGGGTGAGTGTAGACTCACAGCACTCAGGCCACATGTGACCCATTGTACATCCTCCCGAGGAGTTGTCCTCCTAGGTGATCGTCCATCCTGTCCTTTTCAGGAAGGAGGGCAGGTCACTAGGAGACTTCTCCTTTATATTGGCAAGTGTAAGCCAAGACTCTCTTTGGCAACCTTGAGATTTCTCACGATGGCCTCCGCGCAGGTTTTGGAAGGTGCAGCGACATTACTGTCCTGCGGCTTCTTCAATCTTCTTGGGGTTCCCTTCGTGGAGGTGCACAAATGAGGGAGCTTTCTTGCAGGGGCTGCCGGTTCCTGCGCAGGAAGTGCCCTTACTTTTGGAGGTTCAGCTTCATTCCAAGCGGTAGATTTCAAAGTGTGATGAGCTGTTTTTTCTGGTTTCGTGAGATAATTTTTTTTATTGGGATAGCTAATTAAAAAAAGTTTATTACTCTTAACAACGTTTCTAACATATTTGTCCTAACTATCAACTTGGACGTCATATTTATTTTGTTGAATCGACCTTTAGGAACAATATACATATATAAATTGAAGGATGTAGCCGTTACTACCTACGTGGTTGGAAATCATAATGAAGAAAAGAAAAATGAAACCACTTATAAAAGTGATAAAAAACATAGAAAGTTTCATTTCTCTTTTCTTCATTACATATCACAATTTTTCAAGTGTACAAAGTCGATATTCAAATATGAGGTTTTTTCAATTCCACTTCTCAGACGACCTGGAAAACTGAGAAGTAATCATCTTATTGAATCGAACTCCAGGACTAACACATATTTCAATATAAAATTATATTTTTTGTATGTAATTCAATGTTCATATGAAAGTAGCTGTTTCGAGAGAGCTTTTCTTCCAGTTTGTGTCTGAAAGTTACTTCTTTGCATGATCTACACATATTTGTATAGTTACTTTTTTGAAATTGATGGTTTTCTTCCTTTTTTTGGAAGATTCCCACATTTTTTTGTATCAAGATGGAGAAGTAGAAAGCCAAAACTTTATTTTCCAAAAATTTAACCTCTCCGAAAAATATAAGTCAGCCCGAAACACTAGAAGGTATCACTATTATTCTACTAAACCAATCAATTAGCATATTACATTGAAAAATCCTATGTGGGCCATGTGCTAATGGAAAAAATATCATTTCAATATTTTTCCTAGTATAGTTTATGAACTGAAAAATTTCCGGGAAAGCTTCTCATCAATTCACTTCTATTTTGAAACACCGAAATTTTTCAGTTAGCAAATAGCTATAAAAGCAAATAAAACATAACGTGAAAAAACGTTTATGAAAACCAAGTCTTGAGGAATCAACGTGCCTAAAACTCATTACCTGTTCACAACACCTAACTTATTGTTGATGAAGTAATATAAACAATATCTCTTCAGACATTTGAATTCCTCGATTAGACCCACAACTTCAAATACCAAAAGTAATTTTGAACTGTTTTTACCTTTCACTTCATTGTCGACACTTCAATATGAAACATCAAACTATAATACCACATCCTTCTGGATTTTTAGATAAAATTATACGTTCTAATGAAATTATCAGTCATACAATACATCGATATAAACTAGAAAACCACAAAATTTTTAACCAACCTGATGTTGATAATTCCCTCTCCATTCGTGTTGATAGATCCATTTCGGCAAAGGTAAAAAGGAACGCAATCAAATCCACAAGAATTATTCTGGACTTCTCCGAAATGGGGATCAAGATCAAGATTTGGGGTGACCGGGGGGAAAGGGTCCAAATTTGACACAGATGGAATCAGGTTGCCAGAACTTGAATTCTCCCCACTACTTAATTTGTCATCTAAATTATTTTGCGGAGCCGCTGATGAAGTATGAACGAACACGAAAATTGAAAACAGTAATGTATATTTTGACCGATTCATTTTCGTAGGTTTATAAGTATTTTCCTGTATATTGTCTGAACACTAACCGAGTATTTACTCCTTCATGTCTGGTATTTTCAAAAAACGAAGTCACAAGATTTTTACAGAGCCCGATACCACTGACCGCTGAGTATGTATTTCAGACCGCGTCAAGGTCTTGGTCTTTAAGAACTGCTACAAGTTGTGAACCCTCATTTATGACCATGTTTTGATATGGACATAGGCGGGTATACATGGATATTTCTAAAAACCGCACTTCCCTTATGCTACGAATTTGTTATTTCATCTATATTGGGTTTATAACAAAAATTGTACGAACACTTCAATATAAGTCTAACATCCCATTAACAATACAGGGGGTCAATTTGAAAACTTCCCACCCTTAATATCATCCTTCCAATAAAGAATGTGAGGAATCGAAAAAACAGGTCAATTTCTTGTCAAGGAGGACACTTTCAAGGAATATTTGTGGCCTCATGGTTCAACATCCAAGGAGGGGTAGATGTTACCTTTAGAATGAGCAGTTTCCGAAAAATAACGTCCTGAGAAGCTATATTTTATTAACTCCTTTTAATAAAAATTACAGGAATAAATTACGCGTAGGATTTATCTCTTCGTAATTGTCCGTTTATAAAATAAAATTCAGTATGCGACAAAAAATTTCAAACATCTACTTACGCTCATCTTATAAACTGTTCGAAATGTCGTCCATTTTGCTCTAAACGGTAATAAAGTCTGTTTTCGAACTCCCCTCTAACATTATGCAAAACTTCATTAGGAATTGACTGGCATGCTGCTGTAATTCGTCGTTTAAGTTCTTCAATATCAGAAGGTTGTGTTTTATAAACAACGGATTTGAGATGCCCCCAACGAAAAAAATCTAAGGATGTTAAATCCGGTGATCTCAGGGGCCATTCAACTACTCCCCTTCGGTCAATCCATCTATCCGGAAATCTCTCGTTTAACAACTGTCTGATGGGAAGGAGATAATGAGGTGGGGCATCGTCCTGCTGGAAATGTAACAGATCCTCCTGCAAAAGTTCATTACCTTCCGCATCCATTTGGGTTTCTAACTCGTTATAAGAGGATCGATAGTTTCTTCAAGCATTTCTTGGTACGGATTGCCAGTCAAGTTTTCTTCCAGAAATAATGGATCAATAATGGCATTTTCAAAAATACCGTCCCAAACATTAACTTTTTGTGGGTGTTGTGTATTGCTTTGAATTGATTTGAAGTAGTAATAAATTTAAGTGTAAAGCAAAGAATTGAAATACTTATGATGATTGGCTATGGAGACAGATCGCGAACTCAGATGGAAGTGTGTAACTTATCTAATGAAAAATATCCAGAAAGAAGCATAACGCAGTCAGCAGTAAGGAAATAATGAGGTGGAGCACCGTCCTGCTGGAAATGTAACAGATCTTCCTGCCAAAGTTCATTACCTTCCGCATCCATTTGGATTTCTAACTCGTGAATTATAAGAGGATTGATAGTTTCTTCAATTATTTCAAGGTACGGATTGCCAGTCATGTTTTTTTCCAGGAATAATGGATCAATAATGGCATTTTCAAAAATACCAGCCCAAACATTAACTTTTTGTAGGTGTTGTGTATGCCCTTTCCGAAAAATATCTGGGTTTTCGTCACTACAATTGCGACAACTTCGTCTATTAACATTGCCATTCAGAAAAAACGAACACTCATCGTTAAACAGATGTTTAATACAAGAATAAGGATGGTACTGACTCGATGAGACATGATTTCACAAAACTCTATTCTTCTATCATAATATATCCTCGTAGAGCTCTTGAAATATCTGCATTTTATAGGGATGAAATGTATACGTTTTCAATGTTCTTCTTACAATCTCGCGTAATATTCCTGTCTGTTCTGATACTGGTCATACGGAGCTCGTGGGCTCTGCAGCAAATAATACCAAAACGTCAGTTTGAGCTGCTTTATCTAGTACTCTGTAGTTATTTCTTTTTTTATTTGTCACTAAATCAGTTTCGTGTCAGTATCCTCATTGGATCTATAAAACACGAAATTTGGTGAGTAAACCACTTGTACACTAATTAGTGTTGGACACTTAAACTTCAACATAATGTATTTTCAGAATTGTTGGAAGAGCAAATGCGTATATTGCGTTAACAGTATCATAATTTCTGTCTTTTGTATCACAATTATATTTTCCAAAAACGCTTGGTTTACCAGAAATTGGCCGAATTATTGGTTTGTGAGTTGATCAATGACTTGAAATCATCCTGATTTTCTAAGAGGAAATTGGAGCGGTTTGATCGAATCATAAATTACAGTCTATAATTCACAGGACTCTCATTGTATCTTATTTTTGATAAAACCAGAATTTTCCTGATTGGAATAACATAATATACATTATCTATATTTCAACAATCACGTTGATACTCAATATAAGTTTCAGTGAGTCGAATTCTGTGCAACCAAAATTCATTTCTACACCACTGTCTTATGAATATGTAGACCTAATGTGATCAAAAAAACCGGTGATTTAATTATTGGGAATTTATACTTGTAAATCTGGATTTCTAACAACCTTACTTGGGCTGATAACGTGAATCATTGAATATTTTTTGCAATATTAAATATTACTGGAGTTTTTTCCCAACACCAAATCGTTATTTTTAACACCTCGACACGTGTTTCGATCACCAAGTGATCATCTTCAAAGAGGAAGATTAATCTTCTTCTTACCAAGTCTTTGTATACGCACCTCATAGGCAGCGTTGCTCAAATAATAAAGTTGTTTTGTACAAGGTTGATATCGAAAATCCGCACAAAATCCAATCAAGCAGTACGTTAAATAAATCAATAGAAAATGGACGCATTCCTCAAAATCTCAACCTCAAAAAAGCCCTCTGTACCTGAAATTACAAGAAAAACAATTCAGAGAAATAACGGAATAATAAACAAATGAATCATGGTTTTAAAAAATCTGTTTAAAATCTGTTTTTCCGTTTTAATTAGCTGTCGCCCCCATACGAACGACAACTCTCAGAAGTTAAGAAACTTGTGCGAGCTAAGGACTAACGAGGTCTTACCTTTTAACGTGTGATTCCTTCCTGGTGTGAAGCTTTTACGGTTTTCTGCCTATTGACCGTGGTCTGTAGGTATGACAGCCTGCAAGTACGACAGCTAGGGCAAACACTAGGGCAACTAGGCGAATACTATCTGTCAAAGTGATGCTGATAATGTAGTCTTGGCAAAAAACGTTGATAGCCCTGCAGCTCACCTCTGCAGGATAAGGTGTTACCCATGGAGGAAAAGTCCTCCTGAATATCATCTTATCCAAAGATGTGTTTATCCATGCCATGTATGATTCTGAGCCCACTCAGTGACACTAACAAGACCTTCGTGATACCGGGCCCCCGCTCGTCGTAGAAAGCCTTCTCACAGTGATGCGGGGCTTTGCTAACTTAGTTTTGTTAATCATGGGGCCCTGTATGGACCTTGAAATAGCCAAAGAATCTGAACAGAATTACTGAGGATGTGGACGTCAGCTAAGCGACCCCAACTTTTCTCCATGTAATATCGAATCAAGAGCGAGAGCTTCTCGGTTTTTTTTAGGAAATAACACAACCACTACAGAAAAATCCTCAAGGCGCTTTAAGAGCCGTGTCTGTGAGGAAGTAGCGATTCACAACGGATTTGAATCGCTAGAGATTAAATCCATTTAGAAAAACGTTCTCAAGAAGTTTATTCCACAAAAACGTAGTTCTCCAAAGAGAGAGTTCCTTATCAGTGTAGTTCGAGTTGTATTGAGTTGAACCTCAAATCGATGAGCAGCCACAGTCCGTCGCATATTTCTGATACGTACCGCACTTGGTAGAATCAAATGTGTCAGGTCATTTGCACACTTCCCGTGAAAGTATCCACAGAAGACAGACAAATCCCCAACCTTTCTTTGATGTTCCAGACTATCAAGGTTGCAAGTGATGTTCGCGTCTTCAATCAGACGGATGGCCCTTCTCTGTATCTTCAGGGTATGCTTAAGGGCGTAGCTCCACACATGGGAATAATACTCCAAAGAAGATCTGATCTGAGCTTTATGAGGTATCAAAAGTTGCTGTGTGTGCAGTTTTCTGGTTCGGAACAGTGTTTCTAGCTTTTGAGAAGCAGCCTTTGCAATTCCGGCGACATGATTGTGCCAAGACATATTGTTGTTCATTTCAACTCCTAACAAACTTATCGAAGCAGAAAGCAGAATTGTCTGTCCTTACATCATTATATCCGGTTCGGAAATCTTTCAACAAGAAGGAAAAACCTCTTTCTTGTAAGGCAGGTTGAAAAGTCTGCAAAACACTGGCGCGAGTACATTTGCGCAGTTTTCAAGTACGATGACGGGTACTTCATCAGGACCAGATGCCTTGTTGATATAGAGCTGTTTTAAAATTCACCTGACTAGACGTTGTCGAAAAGTAATTTCCGTTTCGGTTATACAATACAAATCTGATGTTGCTTGTAATAGTTTGTTTCCCTGGAAACCAAACTTGAGATGTAGATTCTTATATACATATTCACTGGTATTTCTTTTTCATATTTTTCACCATCGCTATTGGAATTACTACACTGGAAAAAGTCTGCGTTGTTATCAAACTCGTTATTACTATTAATAGTTGTCGCTTGTCGCCACATTTTAAACAGATAACAAAAACTTTAGGTAATTATAACTGCACCAATATCGAATTTCAACACTCAAATCATGATCAGTTCTGACATTGATGACAGGACGGCGATAACCATCCCCGCATTCCCCGATTTTTTAGTTACAACGAATGGAATGTATGACTTCTTGAGGTTTGCGACATACAACTTGAGACGGTGCATGAATTCGCTCTTGTAAATGAAAAAATAATGATTTTGCCCAACAGAATAATCCATTTGATGGGCAATAGTTGTTACAAGTAATCAACATGTAAATAGTTACTTGAATTCCTATTGGTTGATAAGATATTGAAGTGAATAACTGATTCAATAAAATTTCTGCACATATGTGGGTTCTGCACTATATTAGTTCTTTCCTAGCAAAGTATATGTCCCTTGATTTCTACCTGATTAGGTTACATTGAAATTAAATTGTCCTAAAATGTGTTTTACAACTATAAAAATATAATCTGTCACAAAG